CCCCGCCTCTAAAGCGCTGTGCAAACTGTTTGCATTATATAAATCCTATATAATAATAATAATAATAATGCCTAGGTGTCATCAAAAAACATTTCAGATTTTTAGTGTACATATATCTATAAATGTATCTTATACACACATTTTTCAAAGCAGCCCAGTTATAGACACATGCTGGATGCTGGATGCTGGATAGGGGTCTGATAAATAGTTATTTTTTATTTTGTTTGGTTTTTTTGCCTGGGGTCCCTCTCTAATTCCATATGACACTATTATTAAGGATAGGGGTTTTGTTTGGATTTTGGGAGACCCTGAGCACCCTTTTTGTTTCTTTTTCCCTTTTAAATCCAGCCTGGGTGGCAAGGCAAGTAAGAGGCAGTGAGCCTGAACCTTCCTCCTAAAACATACCAGGCCACATGCCCTGTAGAGGAAAAACAAAACCAAACAAAATATTACCAGACCCTTTTCCTAGATAGTAATCTCACATGGATAGTTGAGCGGGACCCTGTGCAAAAAAAGAGTTAAATCTCTCCAAACAAACTTACCGGACCACATGCCCTAACCATTGGGAGGTTGGGCACATTAGAGCTGCCAGAAAGCACATGCAAGTAATAAATAAAAAAACATCTTTTTGGCAGGGAGCAATGTTGAAAAGCAGCCAGGATCCCCTTCATCTACACCAGACATTTATGAATGGACACAGATTCCATCCATAAACATTATAGACCCAATGCACAAATCAAGGTTACCTCCAAAATTCATACCATACCCTTCGGCCATGTTATGGATGTTAGGGTGGACCCATGCAAGAAAGACTAAAAAAAAAAAAGATGTGGGCTCCCAAAAATCCATACCAGACCCTTAACTGAGTATGCAACCTGGTGACTGGCCAGGGAAGAGGAGGGCATGCAAATTTCAGCCCCTAGGGGGACCCCCCCCAGGCACAGCACCTTGTTCAAATGCTAATGAGGACAAAGGCCTCTTCCTGACAACTGGTCCCCAAGAAAATGTGAGCTTTTGAGGGCAGGGGGCTTATTAGAATCTGGAATAAGGGGACCTCCAGATGTTTGTGTCCCCCTACCTAAATGAGTAAGGGGTAACCCTACTCCCTATAAAATAGAGTAAATAAAGACACTGACATTTTTGACAACACCTTTATTAAAAAAGTCCAATGCTGCACATGCATCATCAATCACATTGTTCAGCAATACAGCTCTTCATCAATAATGATGAATGGCAATCACCAACCCTCCCAAAACTAGAAGCATGCCAACACCACTTCAACAAGTGTAAATGACAGCTCCTCGGGCCAGCAGATGGATTATAAACAAAGGGCTAGGGTTGCTGGTGATATCATTGACCAAATATGGCCATGGCAACATTCAGACTGAATTCAGGTTTAGTTCAAATCCTATGCTCTATACTGACGGAATAAATGGCTTATTAAATATTTGTGCATGAAGATTTTATATTCAACACAAACACAAAACTGTTGCTTCGTGTGCAGAATGTTTCCAACGTTCAAACATTTTCATTTTCAAACATTTTGGTCTGATGAATCATTTGTTCTTACTTATAAAGAAAGAATGGGTCATATTGGAATCACAGTAATTTTTATATATATCTAGATATATATACATATACAGGTGGCCCTCGATTTACATCAGGGCTAGGCTCTAGAAGGAATGGTTGCAAATAGAAAGTGATATAAATTGAAACTTAGTATATAATGTAAGTCAATAGGAAGCAAGCGAGTTAGTTTCCAGGCCTCTCTCAAAAAGACATAATACACATAATACACTATATTTAAAGCTTTGAAATGAATGTTATGAATACTCTAAGGGTACCCCAGTGCCCCTAGCATGGCTCTATGTGCCTCCATATCTCCAAATTATTTCTGTATGTCATATATATATATAAATATATATATATATGCACACTGTATATAATCAGATATTTGAAATATTATTGTTTTAATTACTTTACACTGTGCAAACACATCAGTTTGAGTTGGATAGGATTTTATCTTTAACTCCAATGTGCCTTGCAAGCCCACCCATTCCTCCTTGTGCTTTCGTGTGCTTTGGCACAAGTCAGTAGGATTTGTGTCATAGACACAACTCTGCCAAAGACAACTGCAGAAGCACAGGATGGAAGTGTAAGTGAACCTGAGTTAATCAGTTTGTTGCCCAGAACTCATCGAAAATGTAATGTGTGTATTACAAAGCCATGCTCTCATACATTGTCATACTCATGTCAGCCACAGTGCAGTACAGCTGATGTTTATTCTTGTCCCTTTGCATGCAGTGTACTTCCTAATACTGTATGTAGTGTTAACCACAGGCTGACATGTTTTTTTCTTATTATAACTTACTGGCTCAGGATTATTGACATGACCATTGTCACACACACTTTGGGTCAGGCTGAGTTCAGTTTTAGGATCAGCAACTAAAGGTCCGAGTAGGGAAAGAAATGGAAAAGTAAAGGGACATGTAAGATTAAGGAAAGTTGACACCCTTTCTGTTGCAATTTTGTGATGTTGCCTACCAAATATAGAAGTGCTTTTTTGGTATTAAAACAAAAATGTAAACCATTCTTGTCCATGTGTTGTTTCAGGATACGGTGAGAAATGTATTACTCTTGCTAAGTTTACAGAGTAAGCGTCAGTGTCTCTATCAGCTACACACATTATTGCCTATTGATATTGTGAGAAGTTAAAAAAAAAAGTATTTTTTTGCAAAGTTTAGACACATATATACGTGCACGTATATTTCAGCTTGCAGCCTGAAGAAATAAAAACATGTCTCTGACAGCATATATCTTCTTACTAAATTAGGCAGACAATCTTTAAAAAAAAAAAAAGAAAGAAAAGTATGTGATACAGAGTTTTTGAAGCATGTCATACAATGGTATGAATAGACCATGCAGAATCATGCCTTGCCACGTTACAGAAATAAAAAAAGTAGAGGCTTCCATGACCCTTTGCACAATTACTTTTTAAGATAACATCTTGTCAAACAGAGTTTTTGATGGGTTGAATAACTTTTAGGTTAAACATGGGAAAGGGGACTAGGTATGGGGGTAGGGTTGGGGAATTGGAGAAAGCAGGGTGGGATACCACAATATCATGGAACATCAAAATACCTGATAATTAATAGTTAATATTGCATGTATGCTTAGTTTCCGCTCTCTCAAGGAAACCATCTCTTGGGAGATGTACAAATATATGTAATTGGATTTATATTCTGACTAACCAATCCAGATTTTGTAGATTTCATAAGAGATGTACTGTTTGTCATGTATAATTGCTTCCATAATGCAGAGTTGATTGAACCTCAGCAACCATTCTTTCTTTGAGGGTGTGGACAATTGTCTCCAGTGTTTCGGATAAGGCTCGTTGTGACCTTAGGAAGGCAGAGTGAGGGAATTTTGATATCTACCTATCAGTGTCAGAGTACATTTGAGCAATATGGTGGTTGAAAGAACACGTTTGCCCGCACCTCTCCAGCATCTATCTGGTGTAGGTGTTTTATATCAACATGCTAAGAATTTAAAGTTTGATTCCTCTATTTTTGTACTGAAGGACAAGACACGAGCTAGTGCTATCACCTTGCATGATTGTTTGTCAGGAAGTCAGCAGTTTAGTTAATGTTCTCTGATCTATCCTGGTGGACCAGGAAAAGGTAACGATAACCAGTGTTTGCTTAAGGTTGACACACCCATTAGTGATGCACATTTGTCATAGAACAGTTTTCAAGTGGATTTAGTTTTTATATGAATAGCATAGGTTTAGGGGTGAAATTCTCAGGCCTGATATACTGATTTTGTGAGAGGAAGTTAAGTCATAAAGCTGCTGAAGTGTTATTTTGGGATTTGGGGATTCAAATGTAGATGTCTATGGCTTAATGCAGACTTTAAATAGACCCATCCTGTTTTTGTGGCATTGAAGTGCCAATCCAGTGCCCAATTGAGAATAGTTATAAAACCTTATAGCAAATGGGAATAAAAGATTTGTTTTTGCTGATAAGTGTAAGCTCAAAAGCTGTCTTTTGCAGCACTACTTATTGGTTCAATGACCATGCAACCAATAAAATGTTGCACATACCTGTATGTAGTGAAGGAAGGACTTGGATGACAGGCCAAGGCCCTGCACATTTCAAATCAAATTAACATTGGCAACTGCTATATGTTTTTCCTGACAGACCGCTTTTAAGAATCAAACTAACAATAAACTTCAAAATGATCAGGGTTTTTTTATTTGTTTTCAGCGGTTATGACAGTATATGAAGATTTTTTCCTCTATAAATCTGGGATCTACAAATACAGTGGACTGGACAAAAACCCATCTGATAGGCATCTGCGAGTCACGCATTCCGCTAAAATTATTGGGTAAGGCAATGTTTCACTGGGATTTCAACAAGAAAGGGAAAAGGATTTAAAATACATAACATTCAAAAGAGATATTCAGGTGTAATCGGTAAGGCAGTGCAAAGAACAGTAATAATGTACAAGGTGCAAAGATCTTTGGGGAACTAGTCAGAAATATCAAATCACTGATTTATAGATTTATATACTTTGCCTATCATCATTACTGCTCTTGCACTGGTTTATTCAATAAACCCTTCATTCAAATATTTTCAATGTTTTCATATTTTCAACATAATATACATTGATAGTTGTGATAAAATGATATACTGTAAGTTAAACAATATACTGTATTTCTCATAATAGAATGAGGCTGATTTGTTAAAGAAGTTGAGAATCTTCACCTCATAAATTGTAACTGTGTTTACTTTAAATACCCATTGATTTGCTGGAGAAATACATAAAACAGAAATTTTAGGTGGAATACAATGAACAGGAATTTTTCTTTTAAGAAGATTGGATAATCAAATGCATTGCATTCAAGATTCTCAACTCCTTTAACAAATTAGGGTTATTGTGAAATGTATCTACACATGATTGGATATTCAAAGTGAACTTGAAATTTGCTTTTCACAATAATGGATAATTAACGTGAATGTTCACAATTTTGCAGTAAACTTTCTCAACTTCTTTAGTAAATCAGCCTAACTGTATCTTCTCAAAACATCACATTTACAAATTATCTTTTCTATGAAATAATAAAAAATCAACCACTGGTCAGTTACATTCATTGCAAGGTTTTCAGCAAAAATGCTTGTGTAGCAAATATATATGTTGAATACATTTTTCATAAAAATTGTATTGATATCCTTTAGATAATTTATTGCACATAAATGGTAAAGAGAAAAAGAATGAAAAAGGCCACAGAAAGGAGTTTATTTCATACATACTAAAGACTGTATGTTTTGAGAAATCTAAAAGATGCTTTCAAACCTCACTCTCTGTTGCCAGTTATTAAACATGAAAGGAGTACTGGCAAGGGCAGCAATCTGTTAACCTCCCTGGCGGTATGATTATTCAGGATTTTAGCATCCAAAAGCGGTACATTGTTTTTCATGGAAATTTGATGTTTTATATTGTAGGCCTGTAATTCTTAGTAAATCTTAGGAATAACTCACCTTAATTTGTCCAAACAAGAGTCCAGTAGACATCCCAGGTATGATAAAGTTTGAAACACAAAGTTAAAACATTATAATATAATAAATTATAAATAATTATAAGAAATTATAATATAATATAAATAAAAAATGGTCCAGTAAATGGGAATTCTGGGGGCACTGCCTGATCCGTACCACAGTCAATAAAGTACCAAGTTCACACATCACTGAGCTCGGTCACAGAATTGTCGCTCACAGAATTAGAATCACTTGCAGAATTGAGCGATAGCAATCCGTTGGGAAATTCGTCATCAGACACTGAAAGTCACTTTCAGTGTCTGATGATGAATTTCCCAACTGCAAGTGATTCTAATTTACTATCACTGTTTTCTACCTGGTCTAAAGCCGCTTTTGACCTAAGGGGACGCTTTTTGGATGCCATGGACGTTTACAAGTTTCCAGGCAGAAAGAACAACAAAGTGCAGGCAGGGCACTGGACAAAGCTCTAGGGACAAAATTGAAGTGAAATAGTTTGATACATAAGTGTAATTATAGCAGATTGCATTATATTCTGTGTATTCTGTGTAAATGTCATTTTTCACTTTTGAATTTCCCGCCGGCTCAGCCACCCGCTGTGACGCCCGAAAACAAAAGTAAAACTCAGATGCCGGCAGCGTACATCAGAGGACACCGCGGGGCTCACAGGGGCAAGGTATGTGTCACTTTTCTGTGCAATCCCGAGTCTGGCTCGGGGTTACCGCTCCTGGTACTGAAAGTTAACCCCGAGTCAGACTCGGGAATACTGCCAGGGAGGTTAAGAGACATTGGGGTTGATTTATTAAAGTCAAACGGTCTGCTCAAAGGGAATTTGCACTTTGCAGGAAAGTTTCCCCTTAGTTTAGTGACCAAGGTGAAGCTCTGCTGACTTCTGTCCCTTAATCAAGTGAAAGCAAAAATACAGGTTTTTTTTTTGTTGCTTGCACCACACTCATCAAGCAAAGGAAAACTTCCCCTGCAAAGTGCAAATTCCCTTGTAAAGTGAACAGTCTATTTGACATTAGTAAATCAACCCCACTAAGTCTAATGATTGCATTGTTAAGACCAGTTGCAACCTATGGTACAAACAATATTTTCTCATAACTTCAGGCTCAGGATCTAAACCCAGGTTCTCGACTGTGTCTGACAGTAGCTCTTCCTTGCCTGATCTCTTGTTCAATCTTCAGTTAAACCCAGTTTTCTGCTGAGCCCTAAACTCCTCACTCCTCGCCTGAACTTTCTATTTTAGGCATGCCTCTGATTATTGTGCTTCTGCCAGTATATTGTTTTCTGTTGTTACTGCTAAATTGCATCCTTTTTACTAGGGATGTCCCGATGCCACTTTTTCAGGCCCAAGTACAAGTACAAGTACATCCCCTCAAGTACTTGTCGATACCAATTACCGATACTTTTTATTAAAGGGACAGGTGACTTTAAATGATCCATAGTACAACTACATGTTATGTACTATGGATCATGGTTTAACCTATTCATGTTAGCAGCGGAGAATTGTAACTCTATTGCTGGAGTGTAGTGGAGGTGTATTCTGTATATATGTATTACATATACATTACACACGTCCAGTACACTATAGCAATAGATTTACAGCCAGCCCCGTCCCAGCTTCCCTTACTCACAGTTTCACTCCGATCCCTGTTGCCTCACGCGGTGCCTCTCGTAGTTGGCGCTGGGCAGGATTGCTGCATCGCATCCCGGTGCTCAGCTTGTAGGAGGCGCTCACAATTCTGCCCTGCTAACATGAATAGGTTAAATCATGATCCATAGTACATATACAATGATCGGCGAGGTAAGTAATAAAAAAAAACCGTAGCGCAAGCTTCGGCGCTAGGCTTCGGGGCATTTTGACAAGTACAAGTACTTGTCAAAATGCCCTGTATCGGGCCCGATTCCGATGCTAGCATCGGTATCGGGACATCCCTACTTTTTACCGCTACCCATGTACCAACCCTTGGCTGCTGATTCACTAACTTTGTTTATCGCCTTCCACTTCGAATCTAATACCTTTGCCTATCGACTTTGGCTTGATTACTGACAAGCTTCTGACTACTCCTATACTGTTACTGATTACTAGTGTACAAAACCCAGCCTGTTTATGCAACAAACTTGACTGCTGTCTCAGCTACTGGATTCCAAGCCTGATCCCAGATTGTGACACATTATGTTCTCATATTCTAGGATAATATTTCTACATTTCCTTTTATATACATTGACAGCAGATTTAAACATAAAAAAATAGTTGTACTAAGTTCTGGAACACAGAGCACAAAGGGAATGCCTACTTTTGTGATCCCCCAAATAATCAAAGTAATTTTACTTTTTATCAGTACAGACAGTTCAGACCTCCAAATGCAAAATGGTGGCCTAACGTCTCATTTGGCAATGGATAATAATATATTGCTTATGTTATTTTATCCTTCCATGTTTATTTTTTTCTGTTGGCCAGTAATCACTCTTGAGGCAAGGTGAGTTGGTTGTAGTACTGCACACTAAATGTCACAAACACATTTTCTATTAGAACCTTAGACCTGAGGCACAGGGGGCTTTGTATCGGTAGACCCTTTGCCTCAGGACTAAGGCGATAATAGAAAAATTTATTTCTGATGGCCACATACATAGCTTTTTCTTACAATTAATATGCCATTACTCGAGTGAGCAATGTTGCTAATTTATAAATCTATATATATTTATATATTTTGTAATGCCCCTAACAAATCAGTCTGTGGATATCAGTTCTTTTTTAGCAGTTAATATTCTGCATTAATAAGCATTAATTTTCTGCTTTGATTAGAAATGTATATTTAAACGATGTGCTATATTTTTACCATTCATCTTCTTTTTTGTTGTTGTAAGGGTGAAGAGTCTTTCAGGGTAAAATAAAATAAACATGTTTTTGGGCATCCACTCTAATTTTAACTATTTTTAGGTTTGGTTAATAAGCAATAATAATAAGATGAGAATCTCACAACCTTTTTAATGTTAAGAAATGTGTGTGTATGCCATTCTGTTCTATAACTGTTATATTGACACTGTCCTAGATCTCAAGAACCTAGTTGGTTGGATTTCCCAATAGACTGAAATAGACTGGGTAGATTCATGGTTTACCCTATTATGGGTTTTGATTTGCAGCTTGTGCACCTCATAACTAGAGCGCTGGCTATTAGTTCTGCAATATTGATAAATTATAGGCATTATTATGTCTGAAGACAGACATACATCAAGCTATCAGGTAAAATAAAAACCTACAATACAAAACTACAATAGTTCCAACCTAGTTCCGATCTTACTAACATAGACCAGTCTATAAGATGTAAGTGTACCATTCTTCTCAGTCCCCTAATGACATGGTTTCTCATAGATCTCAGTAGACAATATTTCATATGTAATAATTTGTCATTCTTAATATTAGTAATCATTTAAAATAATTGTCCACCTCTGGACTGGTACAAGAGCATTAGTGAATCTTGCAGCTAAAATTTAAACAATAAAAAAGTACTTACTAATAAGATTGTAATATATGTTAATTAAAAAGTGATATATTTAGATGTAATGAACTAAACTGCAGAGCTCAATTTGCATTAATATTTGTAGATTCTTCCAGATCTGTTTCACTTCTTCTCAAAGTCACTTGTAATGATAGATCACTGGTCTTGGTGGGAACTCACATTTCAGTACTATTAACATTGGTATCTTTTTGCTGGATAAAAGTAGTCACTCGCACACCTAGGTCTAATGCATCAATCCGTTCTTGACGTCAGATACACATGGCCTCACAAGTACAAAGCAAGGTTTCGGAATCTGGTATGGCCCCTTCATCTGGCAAGACGAACCGTGCAAGTGACTAATATGAATTCTGACTGTTTTTACAGCATGTATAAATGCGCAGGTTTGTGACTCAAAAGGATTAAAACCAGACACAGTCAGTTTTTAGCCAGAGTCAAAAGGATTAAACCCAGATACCATCAGGCAACTAGCATTTTTAAATGAGGTTCAACAATGGCAGACCCCATATTTAAGGGAGATTGAACATCTATACAACCCATTTCTAAAGTCACATATAAAAATGATGTTAACCTTGTATTCTTTAGTAATCAAGAACAAACAAAATAGCTACCCAAAGGTTCTTACAAGAAGCTCAATTTGATGCTTAATATAAAATGTTTGTAACATGATGGGAAAAAAATCTTTGGAGTTGTTTGGATTCCTGGGGAAAAAAATGAATTTTTAGATTTATGTATTAAGGGTACATAAAAAGATAGAAACTCTGGGTAGCAACCATTACCAAGCTGTCAGGAAATCTACATGAACATTGAGCAGTTTAATTGTTGGTTGCAATGTAATAATTCATTTTATGTGGGTACTAATGTGTTGAATGCAGTTTTCAGTTGTAGGGTAGTTTTAAAAGGTTCCAATTGCATACAGGTTCCATGCAGACTACCATAAATGTGTCTGAAGCAAAACTGTCTGTTTTCCACTGCTTGATAAATGTTACATTGACTATAAAACCCGAACATACTTTCTGCATTTTCCACTCTGCTCTATATCAGAGTGAAAATTTTTCTTTTATAGCACTTGGATTGTTTCCTATAAATGTATTTTAATCTATAATTTCCTGGAAAGCACAGAACCATAATTGACAATATAGTAATCAATTAGATTAATTAGCATTATTTAGATTGTATTTGCCATTTACTGTATCACAAAATACACTGATTGGAACTAATTTTATTATTATCTCTGAGTATAAGTAATTTGCACATTTGCAGCACATTAAACATATATAATATCAATCCCTCATAGGGAAATCTGATATTTATAGAGCTAAAATCAGACATATGAATGCCTTTTAATAGAATGCATTTAAAAAAGCATGGGGTTTTGCTTAAAATTCCAACCAGACCCTTGTGTGCGCATGCAGACTGGATGGCCAGGAAAGGGAGATACGTGATCATGCAGCCCCCTTCCTGAACCAGACCAGGCCTTTAACATGGGGGATATCTTGCAAGGGGGAATTAAAGCCTTCTACCTTTGCAAGACGTCTTGTCCCAATGTTGACTAGTGCCTTTTCCCCACTCCCAGTCCCATAAAAAGGACACGGGGGTCGTGGGGGGTGTATAAAGGCATTTAGAAGCCCCATTTAAAAGAATGAGGGCCCCCAGATATCTGCTCCTTCCAGGAGAATGAGTACAGGGGTACAGGTGATGTCATTGACCAAATATGGTCAATAGCCAAATTTGGTCAATTACATTACCCATGATGCCTATCTATTTTAATATAGTAGCCAGGGATTCAAGCTGGTGAATTAGCCAATTTGGTCCAAATAATTTGGCAGGTGTGGGAGTGTGAAACAGCCTAGGTTTGCTTGAACCCAGATCCAAGCTAAACCTAAATCTATTCCATAGTCACTAGAACAAAAAGCCTCCCTGGGAGACTTCCCGTCTATTCTTGTTTTACTGACAACTCACAATGTTGGATATTTTCTCACTTTCAATCCCAGTGACAGTAGTATCCAGGACAAATAGCAATGATGTATCTCCTTAGCAGGGAAAACAGACAAAAATAAAAACCTAACAAAAGTTCTAACTCCTTATAGCTGTATAAAAAAAGTTTTGGTTTCAGATACACTTTAAATACATTCTGTCTGATTGATAGTCAAAGCAAAGAACCCCTACAGCATATTTTACTTGTGAAATCGGACTATGCAGTAAAACTAGATGGCTTATCCTCCTGTTTATAACCAAGCACAGTTTATTACAAGCAAAGTAAAGCTAGCCAGAGATGTGCACAAAGCAAACTTTTGGAGGACATAACATACATCATAATGCCTCTTCTATTGGGCAAAAGTAACATTTGCATACTATTTATGTTTATTATTGTATAATCATGCTTGTTATGCTTTTTGTAGGTGGGGGACTCTAGGAAACTCAGAAAAGGATAACTTCTGGGTACGTTTTACATGTCATGACATCTATTGACCAATACTTTACTTAATAAATGGTAATAATGGGATGTATCTTTCAGGGCATACTTTTTAAAAAAAAAATAATGAGTTTCGTCCTTTTATAAGCATCTATTTTCTGATTGGCTACTACTATTTTAATTTGCACTACTACTAATAGTGCAAATTAAAAATGCACAATTAAATATTGTTATTATTGGTTCAGACTGGTTTATGATGTAGTTTTTCTGTGTTTTTTTAAGAAAGTGCTTACAAATATTATATGAGTCATAAAATGAGAGCACAAATTATTTTTTTACAAAAGACACATTTACTTTTAACAAAAATACCCACCATTAAAAAGGGCTTTTATCCTTCTTGGTTTTGTAGCTCTAATGAATATAAGAAATCTATATAAGAAAATAAAGAGTGTGGTTTTGTGAATCCATTTTATTCCAACTGGAAATGCAAGAAATTGAAGAAACAGCCGATAACATAAGAAGGTTTTTTGTATATGTAAAGGGTTTATTGTATCATAATAACAATTAAGTGTGCTGTTTATTTGAAGGGACAAGCTAATACCACTATTGATCGAGAACTGAGCGATCACATACCACCGATCACTCAGTTCCTGATCATCTCCCTGCAGAGAGAGGTGACTGTCTGTCACTGCTCCCCACGGGAATTCCCCTTTTCCCTGTCTGTTCCTCCAATGCTGTCATTCAGTTATCGGGGTGTATCCTGACAATATTGTCGGGATCTGTCCCAGCTCCAGTGCAAACTGCAGGAGGACGTTAGTACATGTCCTCCTGTGACACTTAAGAAAACCATGGTAAAAAAGGTTGGGCCATAGTTCTCTTATAATGTATAGTTAATACAAATTGACAACATTTGCAGAAGGGATTAAAGTTTTTGGAGTGGGTCTCAATATGGTATTAGGGCCACAACTAGATACAACTTCAGGAAAATCACAAGTCTGTATATTAACAATAAAGAAAATAAAGAAAGAAGTTCATAGTTTGTAAGATTTTACTTATTATGCACACATGAAAGTAATAGCGGAATAGATTTTTGTTACATCTCACCATGTATTAAATTGGTCAATGAGAAATAAAATTACACAACAAATTTGTAGCATGGTGAAGAGTTTAAACCTCTTTTCCATGCTGCTCTGTTACAAAAAGGAATATAAATTGAAAATGCTCCTGAAAAATTTGGAAATATTATTAAAAGTATCATAAAAATTATTTAAATGGACAAATATTCTAGGAAATAATTAAAAGCGTGGTCAAATATGTAGCCTGGTAAATACATATTTAATTAGACAAAGAGATGAAATCAGAAACCATTTTTGAAATAATGGAAATAAGTAGCAAGAGGGACTCATTAAAAAAAAGAACAGCCACATTTATTGCTAAATTCTAGAACTGTATTATAAAATCTTATACAGCTTAAAAATACAGTCAGAGATAGGTTAGGATAAAACAATTTATAAAAATGCTGGAAACACATTGAAAATACAGAGTTTAGTGGTGAAGAAACCTGTCTCAGAGGAAGAGATTATGAAATTGATAAAAAAGGTTACTGATGGATAAAATTCCAGGACCAGATGGTTTCACAAATACATTTTTATAAATTCTTTTATGACTCAATATCTAAAAACCGAAATGTAATAATATACCAGGTATATGCTCCTTTCTGCAGCAATCTCTTGAAGTGCAGATTGTTGTATCACCCAAACTAAATAAAGATTTATCAATGCCAAAACTACTGGCAAAACTATCTTTACTATCTATCAAAACTACTGCCCAAACTATCTTTATCAAATGTGGACTTTAAGACAAATACTAAAACATTAACTATGAAGCTCCTACTATGGACGCCACAATTGATAAACAAAAAACAGTAAGGAATGTTTTTAAATAGGGAGCTAAACATAATACAAATAATTGATTTATTAAATATAAATAAGCCACTTACTTTGCAAGGGAATTTTCCTTTAGCTTAGTGAATTAAATAAAGCTCATTTGACCTAGCACATGATTGGGTATTCTTTACCTAAAGCAAATGTACACCACATTCACAAAGCTAAGGGAAAATTCCCTTGCAAAATGAAAATCTCCTAGCAAAGTGAAAATATACAATACCTAGTGATTTAAATTTCAGGAAATCTAAAAAAAGGTTCATAATTTAAATTGTAGAGTTTTATTCACTAGTACAATAGTGAGGCTTCAATTATGGAAAAAGTATAACCATCCATGGTTTAGTAGCATATTGCTGTGTGAAATGGTAATATTACCCAACTTTCTCTATTTTTCTTTAAATGATACTAATACAGCTAACAAAATTTTCTTCCTCCGTTTATTGAATGACTGTACTTAAATATATATGAAATTAATATTGACCTAGATTAAAATATAGTATTCTGAACAGGCAGAAAGAAAGTGGAGTGGGACATCTAAATTTTGAAATTTATTTTAAGGCTCGCATCTATGATATTTAGTGGATAGGTTAACAGCATTAATGGTAAAATGTTGATAGAGATAGAAAGAGAGATGGCACCAATGTTGTTTTTTCAGGTAATGATACCCCCAAAGAACTATAAAAAGATACACTTTTCCTGATATCTTAATGCAGGGGTCCTCAAACTACGGCCCGCGGGCCACATCCGGCCCACCAGGGTCCTTGGCCCAGCCCGTTCGGGTGTTAAGGCCGGAGAGCTGCAGGCCCCTACCTTTACTACCTCCCGGCCGGCCGTTGTAAAACAAGGCCGGCAGCTCTCTAGATAAGCCACGCCCACTTGCGCAAGCGGGAAATCCAGTCAATTTAAAAACAGGCAGCGATGCCTGTTAACATACAAGTGATCCGCCGGCTGTAGAGCCGGCGGATCGCTTGTATGGTCGGTCGGCCCATGTCCCCCCTCCCGTTGTCACGCTGATCCCGGGCTCCGCTGGGCCGGGGACCAGCATAGTGTCTCTGTCACAGGGGATCAGAGGGAGGTCGGTACAAGACACAATGTAAAAAAAAAAGCTCTATCTTTCCCCAAAAAATGGTATAAAAATTATTTCAGTGCAGCGTTGCAAGACGGAATACATGTCAATCAAATTCCCGCAGCGATGAATACTGAAAAATGGCCTGGATGGTAAGAGGGTCTAAACACCTGGTCTTCAAGCAATTAAAATGGGCCCAGCCGTCCTAAACAACATATAGTAATCAATCGGCCGGCTGGCCACCCGCCCACCCGCGGGGTCCAGACAGAAATCACCCTGGGTGTCAGGGAAGACACACAGGCTGTTCCGGAAGCTTGGCAGCTTCTGTGTTCGGCCTGCGCGGCTGCGCCCTTTAATCTCAGGGCGCATGCCGAGGCAAACCAAATGCCTTGGTTCCTTTAGCAGCGTAACGCCAGTGCGGCTGTGCCCCTCCAACTTTCCGTGCATGCAAGCACAGGCTATTGTAGGGCGGCCAATAAGAAGAGAACTGGGGTATGAAGTGATGTCATCTCCCTGCCTCTCCCAAAGCTGCACGCCACTGTAGAGAGGTAAGACAGGGCAGTCTACATGCCCAAATATTGTAAAAAATAACAAATACCTGAGCTGTTGAAAATAATAAGAAATCATGCCAGCACATGTTCCAGGCTAAGAGAAATGAATTGTATTAAAAAATGTTTTGTTTATTAAAGAAGTTGTAAAAAATATTTATATATATACCCTCTAAGTAAGGGCTTATTCACACCAGAGCAGCAACTGCTGGAACGCACAGCAATTGCTCACTAACGTTCCCCCTTTGTTCTGGGACGGGAGGGGGCGTGGTGTTGTGGCACCACAGCCACGCCCCCCTGTTTTTCAAACGATGATCCGACCCCCAGCAATGTCTGAGAGACAGTGAACTTGCCCCATGTTTAAAAAGTTTGAGGACCCCTGTCTTAACGCATTCATATATTTCTTCTTATTTTGGACTAAAACCAATATTATATATTTGGAATTTTTTCCTGGACAAAAGAGGAAAAAGTTCTTCAATTGGAGAAAAGATTAACCATCTTTTACTACAAGCTTTGAACAGAACATACCGTACAAGCATTAATAGAACATATATATTTAAAAAAAATCACAATTGATGGTAGCACAAACTCAAATTAGAAGAACCATGCTTCAATATCTGCTATTGTTTGATTTCTAAAATATAATAAAAAACCAAGGAAATATATATAGAGAATTAACTTCTTTTGAAAATATATGTATTGAAGAGGGGAATGCATGTGAAATGAATAAAATATCAATAAAAGAACAATCTTCAAGCCCACTATTGTACTTTTTTTTTAAAAAGGAAAAAGAATTGCAGATTAGCCTCAGTGATCAGGCAATATATTTCTTCTTATGATGGACTAAAACCAATATTATATATTTGGAATTTTTTCCTGGACAAAAGAAGAAAAAGTTCTTCAGTTGGAGAAAAGATAAACCCTATTTTACTACAAGCTTTGAACAGAACATACTGTACAAGCATTAATAGAACATAAATTTAAAAAAAAAAAATCACAATTGATGGTAGCACAAACTCAAATTAGAGGAACATGGCTTCAATATCTGCTATTGTTTAATTTCTAAAGTGTAATAGAAAACCAAGAGAAGCATGTGAAATGAACAAAATATAAATAATAGAACAATTTTCAAGCCCACTATTGTACTTTAGAAATAAGGAAAAGGAATTAAAGATTAGCCTCAGTGATCAGGCAATTAAAAAATACCAAATTCTTACCCATAGCATAGGAAATTTAAGTCAACAAAAGGACTTGTAAACTACTCATACGATGACATAATTCACCTCATCTTTTACATTGCATTGGGGTCTATTCACAAAGCAGCCGAAGGATCTAGCCATAGCTTCGGCCGATCCTTCAGCTAGCTTCGGCCCCAGGACCCCTTCGGTTCAGTAGAACCGAAGGGCTGCTGTACGGGCTATTCACAATAGCCCGTACAGCTCCCAAACTTAGCCGAGCGGCTCAGTTGAGCCGAAGGCATATGCCGAGGGGAAATCCGAAGCTGGCCAGCCATCGGCCGGCTGAAAGCCTGCTACTGAAAGCTGGGCGGAGCCAGCCATCATCTCACGGCTGGCTCCGGCCACTTGCATTGACAGATCAGCATCCCCTGGTTACCAGGTAACCAGGGGACGCTAATCTGTCATTACAATGAGAACTCGGCAGAGCCGCCATGATATCACGGCGGCTCCGCTGAGTTCTCAGTGTGTAATGACAGTTCAGCATCCTAGTGACCAGGGGACGCTGAGCTAACTGTCATGAGAGCTTAGCGGAGCCGGCGGTGATATCAAAGCCGGCTCTGCTAAGCTCTCATTGTAATGACAGAACAGCATCCCCTGGTTACCATGTAACCAGGGGACGCCGATCTGTCTTTACAATGAAAGCTTAGTGGAGCCGGCTTTGATATCACCGCCGGCCACGCTGAGCTCTCATTGTAATAACAGCTGGTCCCGGCCAATAGAAAACCGTTGGGCGTAGCTAGCTGTCACTACTAGCTCCGCCCAATTCACTCACTGCTGTTCGGCATCCTGTCATTTTCAGCCTTCTCTCCAGCGCTGCTGTGGGTCTCCGATCCAGCGTTGACTCCTCTGTCCTTGCTATCACATAGAGGGGTTTCTCAGCCCCCTCTGTGATAACAATAAAGTTAAGTGAAAAAAAAATAGAAAACAAATTAAAAGTTTCCCCAAAATTTTTTTTTAAAGTTACACATAAAAAAGAATTAAAAAAACAATTTTTTAAAAAGTCCCCACCCCTACATACAAACGCATGTAAACATGCGTCAGGTGCGCATACCTGCGAAAACGACGATTGCGCCCATTACGCCGCAAAGTAACTAACATTCAACATCCTGTCCCAAAAATAATTTTTGATTTTGGGTGATAGTTAGCAGTAAAAACTTGACAGTCGTTCTAGTCTCTTGCCAATCTATTTAAAAATTTGAAAAAGGTTTGGACTTCTGTTGCACTTTAAGTAATAAAGATATTGCTAACAATGCTTCATTTTCTTTCTTACTTTCAAACAGGCAATAAGCAAGTGAAGCAAATTGTATTTTTTAACTTCTGTGCATTTGTTTTGCAAGTTTTGTTGATTAAATATTGAGAGCGTGAAGCCATACATGATGTTATAACTATGTTTAAAGCCATTATAACTTGTTTGCCCTGTTTTAAAAGAGCAGCAAGACACACAATTATTCTTTTGTAATGTGAGAGCTGTCAATGCTGATGAATAATTACATTTTTGTCATCTTAGTAGCATTATCCAACAGTCATTTGTTACATAAGGAAATTGGCAAGTGTAATTTATGCACGTTTGTGCTAATTTACTAAAGGAGCTGAGAATGATCGCTCAAATAATTGCGTGAATAATTACTTTATTATTTTTATTATTATTATTATCCAAGCATGTGAAAAGTATCTGCACTCGATTGGACATTCAAAGTAAACATGAATTTGTTTTTACATGATTGGATAATGGAGAGCAGATATCACTATCCACTCTATGTTATCTACCACTACTTTACGAATATTGTGGCCCATTCCATTCATAATATTGGTCATGATGCCTAGTTAGAAAAGCCCCATTGAGTTTGCTCCACTGAGCAGGGAGAGCTCCATGATAGGAGGAGGGCTGATTATGTGGCTTTGATGTGTCTCTCCTACTGTCTTTTTTTTTTTATTCAAACAAACATTCATTCATTTTCAATGTGTTCTGATAGCTTCAGAGTCCAAAAGTGTAGAGCACATTGGTAAAGTACATTGCTGTACTTTATAAATGTGTGTTTTTTTAACTACAGTGTGTAAAAAGGCTAAACTGATGTTTTGATATTGATGTTGAACTTTCTAGTAGATGCTGTATAGTGAAATCACCAAATGGTTTCTCATGGCTCCAGTAGCTGGAGATGTCTCCTATTGTAAACCAACTTGTACAATTATTCCTACCACTACAGGAACATATTGTACTGAGTAGTTGACCAACCAGTGCTAAATGCCACTAAACGGATAGAGGTCTAACAGTGCCAGTGTCCTGGTTCTAAAGACCAGAGATATATGTCATAATAATTGGACCAAGGCTATGGCACTCAGATCAGAAAAAAAAACATTTGCCTGAGGGCTGTCTCTGTTGTGGAAGGGTCTTTTCATAATGGAAGACATAAAAGGAAGACACTGGTGTGGGTTAACCGGGCAAGGTTTTTTTTTAACTCTTCAATCCCTGACACAGAAAGTTGGTTTGCAATTTACAGTTGTCTTGCTGTCATGTTGTTTGCATAGTTTCTTTACTTATTGACTCATGGACTTAGATCATGCAAACAGGTCAGAAGTTCTGGTTTTAATGACTGTATTCTTGTTTTAGTCCAGTAACAAAGTAAGTAATGAAGCTGAAGGGTCAATATGACATCCAGGCAGTTTTAATCTTGAAAGTGTCACTGGTAATAGTTGCATAGGTACTAATAAATATGACAATTATGTCAGTAGCCTAGTGTGAATTTTAAATGGCCTTAAAGTGCAAAGGAAAATGCTAACTTACAGAAAACTGAATATTTTTTTAAATTATTAATCTGTTTCAGATCGTTGCAAATTCATGGGGAAACTCTTGGGGTGAAAATGGATATTTCAGAATTCATCGTGGAAAAAATGAGTGTGGAATTGAAAGCCTAATCATAGCAGCTTGGTGTCATGTTAATACCAATTTTTATGAATGAGTAATATATTTTAATGAATCAATCAAAAAAAATGATGGTGACCTGTTAACTATATCATTTTATTTTTAATGAAATCCAAATATTATTAGTGCTAGAGAAATGATTCAGCGGGAAGCTAGTCAAATACTCGAAATAGATAGCATTTCACAATTTCTTTTTCTCTTGCAAAGCTCATAATAGCATAATTTACATAAAAATGCACAGGAAAGCAATCAGAATAATCTGGTGGAGGTATGGAAAACCTTTCAGTTTTCTGGAATGTGCAGTAATATGCATATACCAATAAGTAAGTAATGTTGAAGATTAACTGATAATGTATTCACAGCATTGACACACTGATTTTTTTTATTTACATCAGCTGTTGTTTTTGTTTGCAAAAAGAGACTGTATTACCATTCTTATTAATATTAGAGTTGATCACTATGAAATGCCTGTGAAATAAAAATGCAATTATGTGAATGCCAATATGTTTAATCTCTACCAGAATCAATCATTTCCATTAAAGCTGAACTCAAGGCAAACAGCAACATACACAATAAATAAATATATAAGAGAGCTGTTTACCTATCAAAGGATTGGGTTTTTTTTGTCCACCTAGTTCTAAGGTTTACAAAGCCCTGTCTAGCAGGAAGGAAAGCTGATGATTATCTGCTGCAGTTTCATTTTCACTTACAGATTTCCACCCCATCTGCATTCTGTGACTGGACAGCAAAAGGAGAAGCAGTACACTGATGAGCTCATCTTTCTGTCACTCTGTCCTCTCCTCTTATCAGCTTGTATCCTTTAATTGCAGCACAACTGCCTGCAAGAGACTGATATAAAGTCAGCAAAGCCTTACAATGTCACATTTTTTTTCAGAATTGGGATATTAAGGTGACCATAGTCTTTAGTAGGCAGCCAAATATGCAGGCACTATTTGATCATGTTTCTCATAGATTCCAGTATAAACATACAGTACATGCTAGAGGCAGCCAAGTGTTTATGTGCATTTTCAAAAGTTTTATTAGGTTTTGTACAACACAAAATAACATACCAATAGCATCGCAATAACAATGGCAAAAATAACCAGCAGGGATAAGCATAACATAATTCCCCCCCCC